GGGGTTTGTTGGGGGGGGGGGGGGTTGGGGGGGGGGGGGGGGGGGGGGGGGGGGGGGGGGGGGGGGTAGCATCGGGCTCATGCGACAATCACTTATTGCGATGTGTGTGCGTGTTTCTCTCTGTTTCTCGTTTCTGTTCGTGTTCTGTATTTTGTCGTGTGTGGCATTGCGTTTCGAATGCGTTCGAAAAAAGGAAAACAAAAACGGGGACAGAAATATTTACAGTTCACAGAGGTAGGTGGACACACCGAACAGCTAAACTTTGTGGGTGGCGAACGGTGTGTGTGTCAATTGCTCGGCAACATCATAAAGAAGCACGCATATATGTATAAATACCCAAGAATGCATGGTAGAAAGAAGAGAACGTAAACGAGTAACGTAACAGAAGAAGAAGAAGGTGGAACGATATAAACGGTAAACTGTAATGAAAGAAAGGGGACCGTTTAGAGTCAACACTAACCTTCTGGTTTTCCTTCTCAGTTAAATGCCTTCGCATTGCTAATAATAAGGTTTGGAATAAATAGTCTACAATTTACACTAGAGGTTAAAGTAAACATCTAAAGCAATCCGATCGCTAGATCTCCGGTGGAGCTACCGCGTGTTCTCGCTCGTGATCTAATCGCTAATACTACGATACGACGGTAAATTCGTCGATTACGCTGAGAAAGATCTAAGTCTAAGAGAACGGTATCGAACACGGGGATTGGGGGGGGGAGAAGGCTTATGGTATTAATGCTATTAGTTAAGTACAGGATGATCGGGCGAAGATCGTCGAGAGGCGATTTGCGATCGTGATGGCAACTAAACGTTTCGCCTGAATCGTCGAACGAAGTGTCCGATTCTCCGTTTTTCCGAAAAATTGTGCAAGAAAGGAACGGAGAGATTCCCGAGGTGATTCGAAGTACCTTTTTCCTTTACAAAAATGTTCTCCGACGCGTCGTTAACGAGTTATTAACGAAAAACACCGACCAATGAGAGGCGAGCTCGCCCGGCGCGCGGCGGCCGAGCTAATCGGCGGAACTGGGCTTCGACCGCTCGGCCGCCTCGCGCCAGCCGGTCTCGCCTCTCATTGGTGCACCGTTTTTCGTTAATAACTCGTAAACGAAGCCGCGGGTCGCATTTTCGCTAAGGAAGAAGTTGCTTGAAATTATCTCAGGAATCCCTCATTTCAATTTTGGGACGCCCTGTAGACTTTCGCTGCTGTAATTTCGCAGATAACGATCAACGTCGCTTGAGAAAATTTGAGCGAAAATTTTCAGAGAAAAATTCGGAGAGTTTCAGCAGGTTCGAAAGTTCGCAGCCCGGCGCGGCGACGATCGGACACTTCGCGGATCGACGAAACCGAGAGAGATCAGCGTGAAATTAGCAACGTCGCTCCATCAAATTATGGTATAATTTGAACAACAAACACCGAACCCCCTTTTAACGTCATTGATCGACTCGGGTCGTTCGACGGGGTTGCACAGATTACACGGCGAAGCGATCGCACCGCCATCGAATGACAAACGGGGGCAGGTTGCGTCGGCGAGTCTACAATTTCGTCGTTAAAATTCGGATAGCCGCGAGCATAATCGGCGATGCTGAAAGCGTCGAGGGGCGTCAATGAAGCCACGTCATTCACAGAACGGAGTGCGCGGCGTGTCTGGGCGCAAATGTACGCGCGAAATCTTGCGAACTCAGCGAGGACACGTTCAAAATTCGAGGAACAAATGGCACCCTGGGTGGCACGTTTTTCGGCACGGGCGAATCGCTTTTGCGTCGAACAAGCGGATCTCGTAATTAGACGAAAATTAGAACCTTGACAAATACGAATGGATCGATCTTAGAACATATGGGTGTCACATATGGGTGACGCTAATTTGGAACCAATTTCCACCAATTCAAATTCATTCATTAAAATTCATTTTCACTGCAATATATTCGAACAAACTGAATTTGGTTAGGATGCCTCGGATGCGAAGGAGTTCTAATGTCATTCGCTATGATAAATTTTTCAACATTCTGATTTAATTAATTAGATTGCTTTGACTTTGTGGGAATTTTGGGGATCGACAGTCGGCGCCGAACCTGTTAACCCTTTGAATTCGAAATGCAAAACACGATTTCTGATCTAAAGTATTTCTGTTTTATACAATTTATTGCGATTTATGCACACGATATTGAGCCTAATGGCGAGTACAATGCAATTTTAACAGTTTTCTTTTTTCTTTTTTAATATAAACGACTCTGATGCTCTTGCAATGATTTTGAAAAATAATATAGCAACTTCTAGTGGCGCCTCAGAGTCGCCACTCGAGTGCAAAGGGTTAAAAGCGATCAAGGGTTATTTGCAACTAAATTGAAATTGACTCGAAATCATTCAGAAACGAAACGAATGTTTCCTGCGTCTCGCGATTAATGCAAACAACTTCCATTTTCCATGAAAATCCGCCTTCTAATTATATCAGAAGTTGAATGAAATGAATCGTGTATACAGAAACAGAAAATGTACCGTCTGTGTCTGCATCGATTGCCACTAAATCCACCATAACGGTGTCAATAAAAATGCTTCAAATTAAAACGATTAAAACCGCGAAGACGCCTTTACAAGAGAAAAAAAATAGAACAGAGATTTCTCCGTGGAAGCACGCGTCGTAGCAAAAACGTCGAAAAGTTGAAACGAACACAGTCCAGCAATTATTTCCGAAGCAACACGTATCGCTTTTAGCCTCGAAAAAGCGGACCCAATAAACAATAAACCCCGAACCCAGGCGCTAGCATTTCACGAACTATTATACAAAGAGCCATTCGCTCCTCCGTGCCGTACGGTGCGGTGCTCGCGCGTAACACCCCCGTAACACCCCCGTAAAATCGCTGGCCCGGTCGTCCCGTGGAAGAGAGTCCTGCACCCAGACACCCTGTGCACCCGGCACAGTCACGTTTCACGTATCCACGAGCTCGGTGTCCGCGGGATGACGGTCCGACAGGGGGACAGAAAGAAGAAGCCGGTTGGTAGCGAAGGGTTGAAACGAAGCGACGAATGAAACAGAACAAAAAATCGACTCTACGAGGGAGGATAGAGAGAGAGAGAGAGAGAGAGAGAGAGAGAGAGAGAGAGAGAGAGAAGGTAGCTTCGAGGAACGGATCTCTCGGCCGCTGCCGGGTCGTCTACTTACTTGTTGTTCAGTCCCCCAGGGTGCAGCGGTGCCGAGACGACAGCCTCCCTGAGCCGCATATCGGATCCTCGTCTGGAAACAGATAGTTCGCAAGCTGTTGTCACTGTTCGGGATTCGAAAGCGACGACGTTGTCGACGTCGTCGACGATGTTGAATTCACGGTGCTGGTGCTCGCTCGACGGCGACGGTTCACCACGTATGCGGTCCCGCGTGGCTTCGCGGACGATCATCGACGGCGCGGATATTAATTAGGGGACTCGTTCGGCGTCTGAGACTGGACGCGCGCGACGCCGCGCCGGCATCGGAAGACGGAAAAAGCGAACGGCGTGGAATCGATCGTGCAACTAGTTCCTCTACCCTAGCCGTAGACCGATGGAAAAAGGGAATGGGACTCACCGACCGCCATGTTGAAGCCGTGCGCAAGGGTGCTCGCGTTTCCCGTGGTTTATCGACTCGCAACCAACATCCTCTCCTCCCGCTCTCCTTTCGCTCGCCTACCTCGCTCGCCCTCGCCGGCTCGCCTCCTCCCTTTCTATACCTGCCTACTTCAACCCCCGTTCACCCCCTCTCGCTCTATCTTGCTCTCGCTCTCTTGCTCTCCCTCCCTTTTACTCCAGAACGCTGTCTTTCTCGCCCTCGCTTTATCTCTCTTTCTCTCTCTCTCTCTTCCTCGCTCTGGCTTTATCTCTCTTTCTCTCTCTCTCTCGCTTTATCTCTCTCTCTATCTTGCTCTCGCTCTTCCTCTCCCTCGCTTTCACTCCAGAACGCTATCTTTCTCTCTCGCGCCCGCGCTCTCGCTTTATCTCTCTCTCTCTCTCTCTCGCGCCCTCGCTCTCGCTTTATCTCTCTCTCTCTCTCTCGCGCGCCCTCGCTCTCGCTTTATATATATGTATATATCTCTCTCCCTCGCTCTCGCTTTATCTCTCTCTCTCTCTCTCTCTCTCTCTCTCTCGCTCTCGCACACCCTCGCTCAGCCCGGCATTCCACACCGCGCAGCCTGGCACCCCTAAACGCTTAGCCGCCCCTCGTCTTTTCGCATTTAATTTTTCATTTTCGGCGCTTTTTCTTCCCCGCGCGTCTCTATCCGCGCGTACTTTTTTCGCATCCGGAACAGCAATTATCTTTAATGCACTTTCCCTCGCGGTTTTTCGAACGGTTTTTCCCCCGAGCAAACGGGCCTGCGAATCGATCCTACTTGAACGGCGCCCGTTTACATTGTCCTACAGTGGTTTCGGGAGCGGGATTTTGCGTTTCGGACGGTCGAGCAACGTTTCCCGGGTTTCGTCTTCTTTTCTTCCGGCGAACGGTTCGCGAGTTCGAGCACGGATTTGTACAGGCGAGATATGGTCGAACAATGTCAACGAACCGGGCACTTCGTGTTTATGGATTCTTGCATTTGATAGGGACAGTGTCTTTCAAACTAGATTTCCTACGCTCTGCGCGTTTCTTGCTTATTCTAACTGAATATCGTTGTACGGCTTTCATGCTCTGCTCCGTTTTTACGGAGCTTGGGAAACTTAATTTACAGTCGCGGAGGAAAGATATTCGCAGATTTGTTTATCTTGATTTGTAACACGGCGCTCGGTTAATCGGTTGAAACGTTCGCATTGCTGCGTTTATAATGAAAATGGATTTTCCGCGTTGTGCGTTTTTTTATTTATTATAACTGAATATTCTCGTATGAAATTTATTACTTTGTTCCGTTTCTATGATGCTTGTGAAACTTAATTTGCAGTCGCGGAGAAAAATATATGCAGATTTGATTATTTTGATTTGTAACACGGTGCTCGGTTAATCGCTTGAAACGTTCGCATTGTTGCGTTTATAATGAAAATGGATTTTCTGCTTTGTGCGTTTTTTTATTTATTAAAACTGAATATTCTCGTATAGCTTTTATACTTTGTTGCTTTTTTACGAAGCTTGTGAAACTTAATTTGCAGTCGCGGAGAAAAGATATTCGCAGATTTGATTATCTTGATTTGTAACACGATGCTTGGTTAATTGGATGAAACATTCGCATTGTTGCATTTATAATGAAAATGGATTTTCAGCATTGTGCGTTTTTTTATTTATTATAACTGTATATTTTCCTATGGCTTTTATACTTTGTTCCGTTATGATGCTTGTGAAACTTAATTTAATCACATTTAGTCACAGAGAAAAATATTTGCTGATTTGATTTTTACATATAAAATGCTTAACCGCCTAAAACATTCCCATTGTTATGTTTATAATGAAACTAGACTTTCTGTATTACGCGTTTCTCGTTCATTGTAACTGAATACTCCTGTATGGCTTTCATACTTTGTTCCGTTTTTATGGAGCTTGTGAAACTCAATTTGCAGTCGCGGAGAAAAATATTTTTGCAGATTTGATTTTTATGTATGAAATGGTACACGCCACCCGACTTAATCACTTGAAACATTCGCATTGTTGTGTGTTACAATGAAACTGGATTTTTTGCACCGTGCGTTTCTCGTTCATTATAACTGAATATTTTTGTAATGGTTTTCATACTTTGCTCCGATCTCTTGAAGTTTGTGAAACTCGATTTATACGGACGAAAATATTCGCACAATCGATTTTCATTTCTGTTATGGTACTCGGTTAAATTCTTCGAGCATTGCCATTGTTATGTTTGTGATTGTTGAAAAAGAAACTTCAGCCTCGGACACAAAAATTAATCTATAGTTTACTTAGGACTGAGATTCGAAAATATCAGTTTACATTTCCGCAGGTTCCGTCAGCGCGCACCGATGGTGATTTAAACTGCATACAGAGTGTCCCAAAAATGTCTCACAATTGGAAAGTGGCGGGTTCCTCAGGTCATTTGAAGCAACTTCTTCCTTTACAAAAACTTTCTTCGAGGCACCGTTAACGAGTTATTAACGTAAAACAGTGACCAATGAGAGGCGAGCTCGGCTGGCGCGAGGCGATCGAGCCAATGAGCGGAACTGGGCTTCGCGCGCTGGTTGGCTGGGCCGCCTCGCGTCAGCCGTGCTCGATTCTTATTGGTCACTGTTTTTCGTTAATAACTCGTTAACGGTGCCTCGGAGAACATTTTTGTAAAGGAAGAAGTTGCTTCAAATGATCCGAGGAACCCGCCATTTCCGAATTGCGAGACATTTTTAGGACATCCTGTATTATAGATACCGTGATATATCGTCGCCGGTGTCGTTAGAGCACATCGTGCTCTGACTGTTAGTGATCCCGGTATCGCGTATACAATGTAAAACGCGATAAATGACCGTCTTTGATTGGTGGAGAAGACCACACCAAAAAAGGGTATATAAGCAGGCGATTTTCTCAGTCGCCGGTTTCTCAGTTGAATTTGGTCGCTCGGTCATTTCGTACATATACCTTCTCCCAAATAAAAGTAAAAATAAAACTTTTAAGAAAAAGAATTAATATCATATTGATTTGAGAAATAATCCAAGCCATAATCCCAATAGTGATAAATAAGTTGGCGGCGAGATTGCGAAGAAATGTCACTTTCTGATGAGTTCTCGCAGGTAAAAATTATTTGAGTAGATGATCGAATTATTTTCAGCGTCATAGGTCTTCTTTTCGTTGTCTTGATCATCCCCCCTCCCCCCACCCAACCTTTCGTGTTTTATTTTAAAAGAGGAATCGATAATTAGCGTAGTGTATATTGACCCATTCGTGGCAGTTCTAGACTCGTTTTCTCTCGTTTGTTTTCCGCAATGCCGCGTTGCTATTCCGTCAAAATTTTCAGGCAAAGTTATTATTTCATAAACGTTGAAACGTCGTACGAGATCGACGGGGCACGTTGTCGTTTTCGTAAATAGCCGAAGGCGTTACTCGTTACTTCCTGTGCCATCCGCGTAATAGGCCAGAGTTCGCAACTATGAAAAGATGAACTGATGACTTTAAAAAGCCGAATGAACAAAAATAGCAGGCTGCGAAGGAAACGTGGTTATTAAAAAATGTAACCGAGCTATGTAAATTTCAGTGCGCCGTAGAAACTTAATCGCTTTCCAGGTTAAGTGGGATAACAAAAACAGGAATGCCGTACGATTGCGTGTTTCTAAGTAGATACGGCCGGCAACGAACAGACATCTTGGTTAACTCGCAGCCAGGAATACATTTGCTTATCAATTCGACGCTTTTAAAACGTTCTCGCACGAGAGAGACAGCTCCGCGGTTTTCGACTGTAGCATGATTTTCCAAAAACGTTTCCCAAACAATCTCAAGCTACTTAATCTGTGTTCGACGAGTGTACTCGTCATGGAGAAAGTGGCAGTACTTTGTGTCATGACGAGTATACTCGTCATGGAAAAGTGACAGTGTTTTGTGTCATGACGAGTATACTCGTCATAGCGAAATGACAGTGTTTTGTGTCATGACGAGTATACTCGTCATAGCGAAATGACAGTGTTTTGTGTCATGACGAGTATACTTGTAACGGAGAAGTGGCAATATTTTGCGTCACGACGACTATACCCGTCGCGGAGAAGTGGAAGTATTTTGCGTCACGACGAGTATAGTCGTCATGGACAAGTGGCGATATTTGGCGTCACGACGAGTATACTCGTCATGAAGAAAATGGTAGTACTTTGTGTCATGACGAGTATACTCGTCATGGAGAAGTGGCACTATTTTATGTCATGACGAGTATACTCGTCATAGAGAAGTGGTAGTATTTGCATCACGACGAGTATACTCGTCACGGAGAAGTTTTAGTATTTTGTGACACGACGAGTATACTCGTCACAAAGAAATGGCAATGTTTTACATCACGACGAGTATACTCGTCGCTTGATTCTCGCGACGCACGTAGGCGCGCGCCCTGAAATGTCGGCGCCACAGCTAACTGTTTAAACAATTACACTAATTCGAACCTTTCGTGTAACGGACAAGTCGCAAATTCCTATTATTAAAAACATCAGAATTTCTTGAATCAATTTCGAGAAGCAAGATGTCCGAACGAAAGTTCACGTTTTACCGCGACGATGTTGCAAGTTGATGATAAAATAACAACAACCCTTACATATATATTCTTCCAACGAATTTTCAGTTCCCCGCGCCGTGTTTCTCACGGCCGCTTAAAA